GGCAATAAACAAGACAATGTGGAGGAAGTTTTGGGGCAGATTAAGCATAGATCGTTCCACTGGTTAAGGGTTAAGCCAAAACTTGAGTTGTTATTGGAGTTATGGAAATCATTCGAGGCTTCTTCTAAGAAGGAGGTAACTTTTTTTTATCTAAATCGGTACTGAATTGTTATTTTGGATGGATGACAATTTATATATGCAATGAGGGTGATGAGGTAGGCAGTGCAAGTGGCTACCAGGTTAAGGAATGTATATGGGTTTGGATATCCTTTATATTTAAAGTAATAAAAAATTTTGACTTAAAAAAAAAAAAAAAAAGCTGCGCTGGACTACTCTCCACTATATAGTTGTGACTGAAATTTTCAATCCAATAAATAAGGGCACTATTGTCTTAAGAAAAAGATTAAGAATCTATCACTGAAAAATATCAATAATACAACAAAAGATACTATAATTAATGATGGCTCAACAAATACAATATGAATGCAATGTAGAAAAGTTTTTACCTATATTTAGTTTGAAAAAAATAGAAAGAAGGGAAATGAAAAAATATTACCTTTCTTTTACTTTCCTTTAATCCTTTTAATTTGTTTGATTAGATTAAAATATGAAAAAATAAAATAATTTATAAATAAAAAAATTTCCTTTTCCCCTCACATTTTCTCCCTTCCCCATGCTCTCCTCCTCTTTTCTCAAATCAAGGAAACTATGATTTCAATGATGACAATACAAAAATGCAGCCTGAATTATGAATGTACTTACATATATTTCATAAATATTTAAGTTTCAATAAATATTTTCTGTAAAGTGTTTCATTAGCTAATAATATTATGATAAATCTTCCCATTTTCGGTCAAGACAACACAAGGTGCACTGTAAACTATAAATAAATTTTTTTATTAATCTTCCGGTATCTGATATAACCATATTAGGTCTTAAATAATTTAGAATCGAATCGAACCACGTCAGATCTTATTAGAAAGAAATACTCCTAATGCCTATTTCTTTATTTATAAGGTTCGAACTCAAAACCTTACCTAAAGATATCAAATTCCTTCCAATTGGGTCCAAAAGGTCACTAGTATTAATTATAAATAATTATTGTTTGGTAAAAAAGATTGTATTTTTTTGTGCAGTACGAATTAAATAAATTGAGCATATTTTTTATTTTTCATTTTTCACATTAAAAGCTAGTTGTTCCATAATATAGAGGTTTGTACTTACTTTTACAATAAATCAAGGCTTGTAGGTAATGGGTATCAACTGGTAGACTCAGAGTATACAAATATTATTTTTCTTGTTTTAACTTTTAGGATTTGTTTGATTCGAAGGAAATGGATGCAAAGGGAAGAATTTTTTTCGATTAGATTACATTATTTGTTACTATAATTTGATTAATTAAAAAAATCATTCATTTTCTCCTCTTCCCTCCCCTCCCCTCCCCTCCTATTTTCCTCAAAACAAATATACTCTTATTGTTATGTTTCAACTTAGTTATCCACCTTATCACCAAAATTTTATCTTTATCTTTATTTTTTTTTATCAAGAATGATATAAATCAAACATAAATTATCAAAAAAATTCTTAATCCATGAAAAAATTCAAGAACAAATGGTTTTTTTTTTTTTTTGATGGAAGAGTATTAGCATTATTCAATTAGTTTTTTTTTTTTTTAAACATTGGAAGTTAGTTGTTTAGTATCTGTTTATACTTAAACTTCTAGCCTAGAGTCTTAGACCATAAATCAAAGGTTCAAAGGCAGTACTACCAACTTGAGCAAGTTCTTGTTAGTATTATTTAATTAGTTTTAATTGTGTACATTAATGAAAATGTTCTTTTTGTTTGGACAATCAAGGTATCTTTAGACTAATTTTTGCATATTTCAAGGATTAATCTCTCTTTAGGTAATTTTAAGGATGCACCTCCTATATCTACCTAATACATTCCAAAAAATTAATTTTCTTAAAAGTTGATTTAAAGATTTACAATATGTTTATTTAAAAGAATGGAGGAGAGGGGAGGAATGTGGCTAGCTAAATCTTTTACTAACTAAATAAAGAAATTTTTATCTCTTTCCTCCTCTTAAATCAAACATATTCTTAAACTTTAAATTTAATTAAATATATGATATTTATTTATTAATAAATCTAAGTTGGATTGATGCTCTAATGGACGTTACTTGTCCATGGAAGGCAGGTCCGGATCAGGTCGATGCTTCACATTTGTAACCCAATTGATTAACTAATGGTCTGAAATTGGAGGAATGAGGCTCAAAATTTGAGCCCAGATGGTGCTTCTATCGGCCACCAACTTGACGTCCTTTCATCGTTCGCAATATTCCCCAATTTCAATTTTTTTTTATTTACTTTATAAGCTTTTTAAAATTGTTAAAATACAACTATACAATTTAGAATGCCGACAAACATAATTTAAAATTCTCTTCTTTTATTTCCTAAAGAGAGCGTCATAAATATGCATATGGTGTTTTTGACTCAATAATTATAAATTATGTTGTAAATTATTATCAATTCAAGGATTATGTTTTGAATTTTTAACCTTAAAATTATAATATGTTAAAAAAATGTGTTATAAATGTTATTATTTAATAGTTTTTTTAGACAGTCTCTTTATAAATGAGTCACGTGTCTCATGTAATATATATGATTATCAATAAATTTAATTTTTAAATGCACTACTCTTCCTTTTATAAAATGATAGATGTTTTTTATTTAGATTTGTTTAAAAGGAATAATTATTTTTTGAAGACAAATAATTTTTTTTTAAGTTTATAATTATCTCTTAATTTTAATTATTCATTCTATTATAAAAAAAGAGTTTCATTATTTTTATTTCTTTTAAAGATAAAATATAAAATACAAGAAATTACGCACTAGGCCTAGAGGCCCAATGGCACTTGCCATTGCAAAGTGCATTTCCCTTTCTCCGCGGGTTTCGAACCTGCCCATGTCCAAAAAGTTCAAAAAAAATAAAATACAATAAATTACACCTAAATCCTTATTCTCATATAAAAATTAAAAAAGCATCTATTCTTTTAAAATAAAGGGAGACCTTAATTTTTATCATTCATTACTAATCACATACTAACAAATTAAAGTTTGATTGAATTAATATTCACTAATTTAAAATTTTTAATTTAATATTAAAATAAAATATTTAAATTTTTATATTATCAAATAATTAACTCTTGAATATAAAAAAAAATTAAATAATCACATCACATATATTTAATTTGCTATAGAAGGTTTTTTCTTAGCAAGATAAAAACAGACAACAGCTCTTCAAAAAAAAAAAAGAAAATTTATCAGCATCAGTTCTTCTGAAGATGTTTCTCCACATGCGTTTCACTGTATTTATTCTTCCACATTACCCTTCCCTTATAAATCTCCAACCCTGCACACAACATCAAACACACTAAGCAACAATTAAAGCTTTCCAACAGAGATTTAATTTCTTCCTCTCCATGGCGACGGTTTCCAAACACAACCACAAGACTCTCTCAACCGCTTCCAACCTAGCAAACCTGTTACCCACTGGCAACGTATTGATCTTCCAAGCTCTGTTACCTTCTTTCTCCAACAATGGAAATTGTTCGCTCGCCCATAAGTACCTAACCTTGGGACTCATTTTCATTTGTTCTCTAGCCTGTTTCCTCCCATCCTTCACTGACAGCTTCGTTCATGATGACGGGAAGCTCTACTACGGTATTGCCACCAGGTCGGGCCTCACGTCTTCAACGTACGATCTCCACGATGGACTCGACCTGAGCAATGATGAGACTACGAGAAAAAGTTGAAAGCGTACAGTCTGAATCTTATAGACTATGTGTATGCAATTGGGTCTTTGATTGTGTTCTTGGTGGTTTCCATTAGCAGCTACGACGTGCAGCACTGTTTCATCCCCAAGGCGGGGCCAAATGAGGAGGCACTGATCGATCACGAATCTGCCTCTGGGAGCTGGGCTTTTGGGCAGTATCCTGTTCATGATTTTTCTAGGAAACGAAGAGGGATTGGGTATGGAGATATGGCCATAGGGAGTGGGACTACTGCTCAGGAAGAAAAGCAGCCAAAGGACAAGCCTAAGGATTTTGTTTCTCTTGTTTGGATCGAGGGAGGCTGTGTTTGGTTTAGGAAAGTTTTCCCTCTTTATCAATAAAATTTTAAGCTATCTTAGATTGTGTTTGGGTTTGTTGGGAGCTACCTTGAACTTGAAGGTGGGTTGTGACTTGCACCAGGAGAAAGCACCAGGAAAATGCATTCGGATTGCAGAACAAAGTCAGCAAATTTCAGACCACACTATAGCAGCTCTGCAGACTACAAATAGGCTGGTGCAATTTTGTCAAAATGGCCACCCAAGTTGCAAAAAATGGCCACTCAAGTCTACAAAAATGGTTAACTTCCAGCTGCATTTTACTTTTCATTTATTACCCTTAGTTAGATTTTGCCTATAAATAGCCATGCTACCTCCGCTGCATACATCAAGTTTCAATCAATGTTTTTGAGTTTCACTTCACTTAGTGAGTGAGTTTTGAGAGTGGATTTTTCTCAATTTATCTCTGTATCTTAAGTCTTGTTAATCTAAGTGGTGTCTTAGGTAATTGAATTCATCGTAATGAGATTTTAAATCTCACCAAAATCAAAGTTTCGGTGTCAGCTTCTATGCCATAACTGTTGTTACATTGGATTATGTTGCATTGTAGCTATGTCAAAGCTAACTCAAACTTGATGCATACAATGGAGGGAACATGGTTATTTATAAGCTAAAGCGAACTGAAGGTAAGAAATAAAAAGTAAAGTGCAGAGTAGCTGATATTGCTCTGCATTCCTGGTGCAACGAGTGGGGTTAGCCCTTTTTCGCATTTTAAAAATGCAATTTGGAAGTTAACAATTCCCCCAAAAATTAGAATTTTCCTTTGAAGAATCATCTCCAATTATCTGCCAGTATGAGTAAATCTCTTTCAAAGGGGGATTGTGGATGATCCCTTATGCAGTGTGTGTAATGGGGAAAATGAAACTCTTATACACATGCTATTCACTTGCCTCATGCTGCTAGAGTTTGGTCTACAAAGGTGAATGAAAAAGATCCTATTACTTCCCCTTCTTGGACAAGAGAGGCTCAACACTAAGAGCTGTACGTTGAAGTGGACTCCCCCACAAGACAACTTTATTAAGTGCAATATTGAGAGCTGGACTAGCAGTTGTGTGTTGCGATAGCAGGGGAATGCTTCTTGATGGTTTCTCCTTCACACAGACTGCTGCATGGTGCTTAAGGTGGAGACTTTGGCTTTGAGAGCAGCAGTTGGATGGGAAGTTTCTTATGGCTTTACGAAAGTTATTTTTGCAACAAGGAATTGGTTCTAGTAGTTAATAAAGAAATGCAATCAACATGGCAAATTGAAACGCAAATTCAATCCATATGGATGTTAGCTAAAACACTCACTTCCTGTTTTTTAATTCATGTTTCATGGGATACTAATCGTGCTGTTGACTAGGCAGCAAAACGAAGGTTTAAAGGCTAGTGTCCGTTGTATTGGACTCAATCCCCCGCTGTGATATGTGGAATCTGTTGTGTATGAATGTAAACAATACTTTATTATATTCTTTTTCTTTTTCTTTTTTTGTGAAAGGGGGGAGATACAACTACAAAGGATCAAGGGGGTCTAACATACTGAACCCCATAGGGAAAAAAGATGTCCTTGATTATATTCTATGGTTGTTAAAAAAAAATTAATGGTAATATTCTTTTTTTTATTTAATTAGTAAAGGACATTTTATCAATGAAGTACAAAGAATATGCTTGTACATACTTTTATTTTACATGCAATGCAAGTCATAACATACAAATAATATTACATCCCAATTTAAACAATCCCAGCCCTGGTCCCCTGGACATCTCCTATTCAATAGCCTTAGAACATTCTCTAGCATTGCTATACCAATTATGCAAGGATAATAAAACCCTTCTGCTTTTCCTTTTATCCACTAGAATAGGTTTTCAGCTTGGATTCGATTTTTTTGAATATGAAGTTATTCTTAGCATCCCAAATCAACCATGAAGCAGTCATGAAAGTAAGAGACCATACTTTCCTCGGCCTGTTCACCATGAACAACCTGTTGGAGCTGAATGCACCAGTAATGCCCCCGACGCAGTGCCAATGGCACCCCACCACTCCAAGCACTTCAACCACACCTGTCTAACTGCTCTGCATCTTAGTATCACTTGTTCAATCTTCTCCAACTCGTCTCCACATTTTTTGTGGGTATTGTCGACATCATCCACTTGAATTCCATTTTGGATTAGCTTTTCCTTTGCGGCTATCCTATTCAAGAACATCCTCCAACAAAAATTATAACGGTAATATTATATATAATAAATCATCCCATTTTAAGTAAAAACAACGCAAAATGCAATTCGATGCGTAAAATACATTATATATATAAAATACTGTTTGGCCAAAAAAATTTATATTTTTAATTTGTATAATAGGAATTAAACAGTAATTAAGCACATTATTCAATTTTTTTACATAAAAAATTAGTTGTTTGGCAAAAAAGAAGTTTAAACTTCTTACTTTTACGATAAATCAAAATTTGTAAGTTAAAAGTAGTACCTTGGTATTTAATTTCTTTGTTCCAAGATAATTGTTTGTTTCTAGACATAAAATTTGTCCTAAATTGATTATGGTTTTTAAACTATTTAAAGTATACAAATATATATATATATATATTTACTTTAACCTTAAAGTAGTTGCTTTGAGGAAATTAGAGGAGAGGTCAAGAGAGGGATAAATTTTTTTACAAATCAAATTATTTTATTTGTTAAAATTTTAATTTAATTTAATTAGTTAAAAATGTCATCTCTCTTTCACCCTTCCATCCCCTTCACTCCTCTCCTTTTCTCTCAAAACAAGCATCTCTTATTGTTACGTTTCAACTTTAATTATCCATCCTATAGCCAAAGTAAAATACTTAAGAGTTATTTTGGGACGGAGTAGCACATTAGTGTTACTCCGTCTAATAAGATTTAGTTCTTCCAGTTTGATTTTTACACAAAGTTCTAACAAATGATTTTATATGATAAATAAATAATAATTAAAAACCTTTTTCTTGTTATATGCAGTTTTTGTTGAATATTCTTACTTAAATCAAAAATTTTTTTAGATATTGTCACTCATTTACTATATAAGTTCATTATATTGATTTACATAAAGTTGAGATACTAAAACAACCTAAAAAGAATGAAGGAAATATTCAATTAGTTTTTTGTTTTTTATTTCTTACGTCAAGAGTTACTTGTTTAATATGATGTGATTTAAACTTCTCACCTAGAGTCATCAGCCAAGCTCTTGTTCGTATTATTCATTTAGTTTTAGTTGACTACAGTCATGAAAGAATGTGTTTTTTTTTTTTTTTAAACAATTGAAGTGTTTCTAAATTAGTCTTTGCATATTTCAAAATTAATTTCTCTCTCTTATCAATTGCAAGAGCATATCCCCACCATCACAAAAATTACTCCTTTTGAGAGTTGGTCTTAGGATTTAAACTCTAAAACATTAGGTGCATTTGAGATTGTGGTTGGAAGTTTTTTCTTGTAATCGTACAGTACCTCTAGATATATATGTTTTTTTTTAACAGCAAATCATACTAGATTAAAAATGAGTATAAGGGGTACTTAACCCATTTAACACTGTTTACCCGTTGTACACAAAACAAAAACCATACAAAAATCAATCCTACCATTCAAACTAGTTGTTTGGTGCCCTTCCTTCCTACATGATTGTCTTTCAAACATGCAACAAGATTAAGTAGCCAATCTAATAGATTAAAGACATACCTATCTTTTTTAGCTCTAATCCATAAGAAAGATCTTATCTGGGCAAGTTCAAATAGCTTCCCTGAGTTGGCCTCTTTTTCTTGGAAAATCTTCTAATTTCGAGCAAGCCACACAGACCAAACAACTATGTTCCAGATGTAGTCCCATCCTTCTCTGATGCTTGTCTCTTTAGTCTGTTCCCTAAATTGCACAAAGGTATTCCAGCAATCCCTTTCTAGCATCACCTTAGCCCCCCACCATTTCACACAAGCATTCCACAACCATCTAGCAATCTTGCAATTTAAGAACAAATGCATAGTCCTCTTCTTCTTCACCACATATGCTGCACTTACTTTCTCCCGTGTCTTTAATGATCCCTCTTCCCAACAAGTTTGTCTTAGTTGGTATTCTATCTAACAGAGTTGCCAGTTGAATGCTGATATTTTGCTTGGGAGAATCGAATTCCATATTCTATTGAATGTTGTAGTTCCATTTGATCCCTTTTGCTCTTTATTTAAAAATGCATAAGCTGTTTTTGTTGAGTAATTGCCATCCTTGTCATGAACCCACTCCCACTTATCGGGGCATCCTTGTGAAATCTTCACTTCCTCTATCATGTTTTGGAGTTCTATGACCTCTACGGCTTCCCAATCGAACAAATTTCTCCTCCATCCTAGACTCCACTCCCATGATCCATTCCTCTTATTGCCCATTTGATTGCACGTATTCTCCTTTCCTGTTGATAGAAGATACAATCTAGGAAACTTATTAGCAAGACAACCCTCCCCCCACCCAATCATCCGACTAAAACCTAAAACTATTACCTTCCTCTACTTTAATCCTAAATCCCTTCGTCAACCATCCTACACTCTCCCCATCCACTGTATTGAGACAACATACATCCCTCCACCATATTGAGCCTACTCCTCTATTTTCTTTGATCCAATCCTATCAATGCCCCCCTCCCTTACCATATTTTTCAACAATAATTTCCTTCCACAAACCCTCTCCATTTTCTGCAAGCCATCCCCACCATTTTCCCATCAAAGTCAAGTTAAACTTCCTCAATTCTCTCACTCCCGGCCCTTTTTCCTCTTTTTTTTTACCCATCTTCTCCTAGCTTACCCAATTGATTTTCCTCCCCTCCCCGCCCCCCACCCCATAAAAAAATTTTAATTTTATCAAGGGAATGGAGTATACCTTTCGGGATTACGTAGACTGACATCAAGAACACGAGCATACTAGACAACACTGAGTTGATGAGTGTGATACGAGCTCCCAGTGAAAGATGCCTACCCTTCCAACTAGTTAGCTTCCTTTTAAAAGATTCCACCATTAGGTGCCACATTGATATCCTTCTATGTTTCCCGCCAATAGGAATTCCCAAATATTTAAGTGGAAACTCCCCCTCTTTGCAACACAATCTGTATGCCATTTTAGCTCTCTAGTTTTCCTCTATGCCCACCCCCATAAGCT